TATAGCCGTTACATATTGCACACAAAATAAAATATAAATATATTTATCATTATGGCACACAAAATAAAATATAAATATATTTATCATTATGACTAAAATATCAGTTTTCAGCCCTAATTGAAAAAATAATAAAATTATTATCAATTAATATCAATCCTAACTTTTAAATTATTTTATGCACCTTTTTACTGAAGTATTAAATTTTATAATATTTTTATATATTCATTTCATAATTAACAGCTACTCCTTATTTTTAATAAGAGTCGTTTTGAGAAGGTATTTTTAATAAGAGTCGTTTTGAGAAGGTGCATAGTTATTAAAAATATTTTTTTTGTCAATAATAACCCTCATTAATGAAAATAGAGATGAATGTTTTGAGAAAAGATAAAAAGTGAATATGAAAAGACGTAGTGTATTCTTAGATGAGGATAATAATGAAAAAATATGTACAAAATATTCAAAACAACATTTATTTTGTTAATAGTTGATGATGTCAAAATGACATTTAAAAAGAATAAGAGGTAGTAATTTATACTCTCTCCTATTTTTTTTTTTTTTAAATGTCATTATAGCTTTATCAACTATTTGCCAAATAAATATATCGTTTTGGATTTTTTGTACATATTTTTCTATTATTACCCTCGTTTAGCTGATAAATACGTTTTTTCATATTCACTCTTCACTTTTTTTTCAAAACATTCATCTCTATCTACATTGAATAAAGTTATTATTGACAAAAAAATATTCTTAATAAATGTGCAAATTTTCAAAACGACGTGTATTATAAATAGTAGGTAGTATTAGACTTAAAACCAAGGACCCATCTCAAGGGGTATTCTGGTATATTACACTTTCTAGGGCTTCAAACTTATTTAGAATTTAGATCCATTTCTCATTTCTCAAGCCGTCGCATAAATCCCAATTTTCTGTCTAAACTCTAAAGGTAAAGCTCAACAACCCTTGAAGGTTTCTCTCTGAATACTGCATAAATCTCAGATCGTTCCTTTTCTTTTGTTGTTCGATTCTTGGTTTTGATTTTGTGTTTCTGTGCTTGTAAGAAATGGCGACTGTACCTGGGCAGCTGATATGGGAGATCGTCAGGAAGAACAACTCATTTCTGGTGAAGCAGTTTGGAAATGGGACTGCTAGCGTTAAGTTCAGCAAGGAGCCCAACAATCTGTGCAACGTGCACTCTTACAAGCACTCTGGTTCGTTTCTGATTGTTTTGTGCTTTCTTGATTTGCTTATGATTCTCTGATTTTTTTTTTTTTTTTGTGTGCCTGCCTTTGTTGATTGAGTAGTGATAATGCTCTCTGATCCGAGCAAGGAGTTGTTTTATCTATTTAGTTATGGTGATTTGTGGGTGTTGTACTGAATTGGGCTTCATATAGTACATTGTCTTGTTGAGCTTCTGCGTATTCTTCCCGGGTTTGAGATGTGTTGATATAGAATAGTCGAAAATCGATAAAGCTGTGAACTTTGTACTGAATTGGGCTTCATCTAGTACATTGTCTTGCTGACCTTTTGCGTATTCTTCCTGGGCTTGAGATGTGTTGGTATAGAAAAGTCGAAAATCAATAAAGCTGTGAACTTCATTGCTATCTCAGGAACTTTTGTTATGTAATTTTTTTTTTTTTTTTTTTTGATGATTTTGGAATGTATACGATTTTTTCTTTTCCGTTACAGCTAGTAGGGCTGTAAACAATCGAGTCGAGCATTGTTTTTATCAATCTATTCTTGATTTTTTTTACTGCTGCTCGAGCTCGACGAGCTGAGATTGGCTTGGCACAAAAATGCAAACCTCTAATTTTGCTCGAGTTTGGCTCAAATTTTCAATACGAAATGTGTGGTTAGGGTATTTAGGTAAGTTGCTAATTTTACATATAGTTAAGAAAGCGCTTGAGCTTACAAGCTACAGGCTGAAGCTCGACTTGAGTTTAAATTTGAGGTGCTTGAGCTCGAGTAAAACATTCACTGTAGCTTTCTCGCAAGTTGGTCAATTGTTGCAGCCCGAACAGCTTGCACGCTTGGATAATTTTTTTTCGCTAAGTCATTCAGCTCTGTTGTCTTTAGCACAAGTGCTGAACCAGGACACAGTCGAGGAATATTAGATTCATGGTTTCTTTTAAGCCCAATTATCAGTTTTTGCAAATATAAGCTTTAGATTTGTACATTTTTTTTTTCTTTTCTTAAGAAACTAATTTGGCTGAAATGAAATTCCTCACGATGCTTTGATTTAGGGTTGGCAAACAAGAAAACCGTGACCATTCAACCTGGCAAGGATCAGTCAGTGCTGTTTGCAACAACAAAAACCAAGAAACAGAACAAGCCATCAAGCCTGCTTCACAAGTCTCTATTGAAAAAGGAATTCAACCGCATGGCAAAGGCTGTCACAAATCAGGTGGAATAATGCTATCCTTGTTTTAAGTTTATTCACCTACCCTTGTACATTATAAACTAGCCAAAAGAATTAGTCTGCTGCATCATGCTCGATTTTGGTCCTTCATTAGTTTGAAATTACATATTGATTTTGAAAATGGAATTAGTGTTGTAAAATCAAAATAAACATTGTGTTGTGTCGAGCTAGATATTAGTCCTTGATTAGTTTACAAATATAGTAACTGTATTTTCTGTTTACAGGTGGCTGATAACAATTACAGGCCTGATTTGAAGAAGGCGGCCCTTGCACGATTAAGCAGGGTTCACAGAAGCCTCAAGGTTGCCAAATCTGGTGTGAAGAAGAAGAACAGGCAGACTGCTTATTAGGCCTTGGGTTAGTTAAAGCAGTAGATCGGTTACTTGAACTTCGTATTTTATGTTTGTTTGTGCAAAACTATATAGCAGCAATTGGAATGCCAAAAGTGTTTTGGAGTTGTCGTTTATATTGTGTTTTTTCGATTGTTAGAGTTGAATGATTTCATATCTTATCTTATTTAATAGAACTGAGTTTCTTTTTATAATCGGTCCCTATCCTGGATTTTCTGGTACTTGGTGTATCAAGAAAAGTGGTGCATGTTTGATTTATATGGGTAAAATTTATGTTTGAAATGAATTATGTTTTTGCCAATGTTTTTTCATATTTGTAGCTGAAAATATGTTTTGACAGGACCAGTGTTCTAAAAGTCGCTAAAAGTCGCTAGGCGCTCCACCAGCGCCTAGTTGGGGATTGAAACACACTTAAGTCTTAATAATAAAACTAATATATTGTAAAGAAAACATAAGAATAAAATAATGTAATTAGTATTTAAAAAAATTAAAAAAAAACTGAAAAATTGTTGTCGAGCCCGTCTAGGAGCGTCTAAGTTTGTCTAGGTGTCCCTTAACCGCCAAGGAGTGCCTAGGCCAGCCTAGTCTCGCTTGGCCGATTTTTTCTGCCGATTTGTGCAAATCGGAGGCGTTGGAGCACCGCTTAGCACCTAGTTAGCCCGATTTTTAGGACAGTGGCCAAAATACATACCTTGGAACTCAAACCTTAAACATTGCAATGTTATTTTACACTTGTATCCAAGGGCTCATTGACTTTTAAGCCCTTTATTGTCTTTGATATTATTTGATGCTTGTACGCAAACTTATAGTGATCATTACTTGGGGAAGGGGTTTTGACTCGTGAGCCTCAAATTGTCCAATTGGACTGTAGCTTCTCGAGCAAAACATACGTGTGGGAAAGATTCTTGCATAGGAAAACACCTTATACAAGTGAACCCCGATGTTGATAATATATGTACTTTTGTTGGTTAATTATTTAAATAGGTTAATGTCGGATTGATTTATTAACTGACTTGTCAACTCATACGTTTGATACGTAAAAATTGTGATGCCTAGACAAAGCTTAATTCAACATTAGCTTATGGAGGTAGTAAA